GCTTCCCTCGACCTCAAACCCGTCACCTATACGCCGCAGCTATTGATTCCTGAGATAAAACTGTGATGGAAGCTGTTCGAACGAAGTGCTCGTGCCCTCTTGATAGTGCAGCCGGCGCTCACGCCTGCCTCCCTCTCTCGTTCGCATCGATCTCTTAGCCGCAATTCCAAACAGTTTTTGCAGCGCATTTGCTCTCTTGTTTGCACTTTCCTACCCTAGAGTTCTTAGTGAGACGAGACCGAATGGGCCTAGACACTGGCAGAATTAGTCAGCTGATCGAGCGATGATTGGCATGTTCGCTGCCGCTTTTCTTATTGGCTGGGAAATATTGCTGATTTTTGGGTTGCAATGAGGATGCCTCCATATGAGAAATGAGGCATTCGATGACTCATATGGTTACACTGTGTGTTCACATTCCACCATAAAATTCCAAAAATGGCATGGAAGGAAGTACTCTTTGTTGACAGTAATTTTTTTTGCGAAATTTTTTCGAGCATTCTGGGGACATGCACTGATTGAGCCGCCGCCAGGATCGAGTTGAAGTTGAATAAACAAATTTTTTTTAACTTGGAAATTTTTTTTAATAAATTGCATTCTGTTGTTTAGCTCGTTTCATATCAGTTACAAATTATTTTTGCTTATGTTGTGAGTTCTTCTATTCAATTCTCATTGTGTTTTCTAAGAAACAATAAGTCCTCATTCTGATCTTTCCGCTTCTAACGGATTGGTCTGTATTCAGCCATCCAACCGAACCTCTTCCTCGTTTCCAGACAACTGTGCAAAGTCGAAAATTGTTTGGTACATAGCCGAGATCATTATACTAATTATGCTATCAATAGATTATTAGCGTGGATTCGCCGGAATCTTTTTAAATGTAACGCACCAATATATTGTCTTGCAGACTTAAAAGTGCTGAAATACAAATGAGCATTATTCAGGTTTTACACCAATTTCTTTTACGATGGCTACGAGCTGCATTTTTATTTTTAGATACGTGCCTGCCGCAAGGTTCTACACCTTTTTCAAAAAATCATAGCTTTCCTAAATGGTTTTCTTGGCAAAGTTTGGGTTTATTGAGCGTTTTTGTGGGATGTTTTGGTAGGATATTCCAAATCATTTCTGGTGTCTTCTATTCTTTTTGTTTCCTCAAAGATCAGAATTCTTCGAAAAAACCTTTGGTCAGTTGGCAGTATATTGGAAAACCTTCATCACAAATGCTTGATCTTATTGCAAAGTTGAATTTTAGTAAGCTTGCTTATAATGGCCAAAGCAAAATTAATCTCTTTATCCATTTTTGTCTCTGCAACCTTTATGGAGCGCTCAATTTGCTAGAAAAAACACTCATATGTTAGAAAAACAACTTATTATGTGTCAATCTCTGCTTATAAAAATTATCATGGTTTAAGAAGCTTGTCCACAAATCCGAACTTTGAAAATACCTTTTTTAAGATTAGATGTGCGATACGTACCGTCAGCTACAATCTTCTTTTATTCAATTTTTCTGATGTTTTTTTACTCGTTCTCTTCTCGTCAGAAGACTTTAAATGGGAAAAGCTTTTCACTACTATTCATAACTGTTTACCTTTATCATTTGATTCAAAATTCGATTTATAATGGCCATATCTACGAAAAAGTCTCATGCTAATTGTGGCAGTAGTTTCTGATACGGTGGTTTATTGTTACCGCATCGAAACATCGCTAGTCATGTTCCATCAAATCTTTTGTATAGGAAGTGTTTGGAAATATCTTTTTGACTCACATTTCGGGAAGCCTCTAGGCTCTCTTTCTCATACAGCGTGCTTCTCTGCCCAGCTTCCAAACAACCAGCAGTACACGTATGTTTTCAGATGCCAAAAAGGAAAGTGCTGGTAGATCCAGTACTGGAACCATTTCTAGGGAAGCTCGAAGACGTAGACGATTATCCGAGTTGTGACGGTTTGTTTCTAGTCGCTAGCTATCAGGCCCTGCCCTGCCTTTTGCGATAGTGGAACTAACGAGTGGCGTTGAGCGAGCAAAAAAATGTTCACGTGCGATTTTTTCCCTCATGCATTCGAAAGTACGGAAGAAATGTCGGCCACCGTGCCCAGTCGATACGCACTCAACTCTTCACGCAAGTCGGCCGCGGTGTTCTTTCTCTTTTCTTCTGGGCGATTTTCGATCGAGTAGCAGAACTCACTCTTGCACTTTGGCTGCGATGCATTCGCTGTGCAGATCGCTTGCCATTGCAGCGAACAGCTCGCCGTCCACGTCGATGGACCTCAGCGCGCAGAACAAGCTCATCTGCGACGTCTGCGGCGACGTCGCCTTCGGCAAGCACTACGGCATCAACGCCTGCAACGGCTGCAAGGGATTCTTCAGAAGGAGGTGAGCAATACACTCTTACTGAGTTAAAGGAGTTCAGCGTGCTGAGTCAGAGATCGGCACAGGTGGCTTAAAAAGGTGGA